AGATAGATAGATAGATAGATAGATAGATAGATAGATAGATAGATAGACAGATAGATAGATAGCAGGCAGGCAGGCAGGCAGGCAGGCAGGGATATAGTAGATGATAGATAGATAGATAGATAGATAGATAGATAGATAGATAGATAGATAGATAGATAGATATAGATGGAGAGATGTTGATATAATTGGAGAGATAGATGGAGAGAAGGGGAGAGAGATATGGAGAGATAGCTATAGATGGAGAGAAAGAGATGGAGATAGATAGATAGATAGATGATATAGATAGATATAGATGATAGAGAAAGAAGGAAGGAAGGAAGGAAGGAAGGAAGGAAGGAAGGAAGGAAGGAAGGAAGGAAGGAAGGAAGGAAAGAAAGAAGGAAAGTGAAAGATAGCTAGCTTCTTGAAGGTCTCAAGTCTGTAAAGACTTCGTCTCCCTCCTCTAGGTCATGGTTGTCCCCGGGGACTTCAACTCCATCCCTGGGCTTAGCTTGTGCATTAGCCCAGACTGTCTCCCTCCCTCCTTCCAGAGACCCATCAGCCCCTACCTGGGATGAGGGCATCCTTGCGACAGTCGTACAAAGTCCCCAGCTGGAAGGGGCGGCCCAGGGCCGCTATCTCGATGGTGTCCTCTTCCAAGGCCATGCTCGGTCTCCTGCAATGGCCGACGCTTCTGCCGCTTTACAAGAGAGGAGAAACCAAACAGTTGACTCTGTGACGGGGTGCAGGGTGTGCGCACAAACCACATTCCCCTCCCTGACGTTGAGTCCACCTTCTGGGTTAGCCGAGCAAGGAAACCCTCCACTTTTGGGGTAGGAGCCGCAGCAGTCTCAGTGCACAGTTGGTGGCAGTGCCCAAGACTTGGAGGGGCCGCCATCGGTAACTCCTCAGGCAAAGGTGAGTTTCATGACATCCTTTGAATAGTATCCTTGTGAACCTTGGGCTCTATTGAACCAAATGAACTTCAAGAGTGAAAAAAAGGTCAGGTTTCTACACTTAGGCAAGAAAAACAAAAATGCACAAGTACAGTGGAGGTCAGGCTAGGTCGCCAACCTTTTGGACCTCAGGGACCATCAAACTCATACTTTTAAATCCCGGGGACCACGAATATGAATTTGGACTGACAGTGGCTTGCTGACGTTGGTGGGAGAGAGAGAGAAAGAGAGAGAGAGAGAGCAAGAGAGAGAGAGAGAGAAAGAGACAGAGAGAGAAAGAGAGAGAGAGA